AGACCTCTTCCATCTTCCTTGTATACCAAGATATGAAGCCATCTGCAATCGTAGCCGGAAGAAGGCCTATGGAATTCACACCACCTCCAAACATCTGCGGAACTCTTGTATCGAGTCACCCATGGAGGACAGCATTTCTGAGACATGCAACATCGCGCAGCTTCGACAGCGTCGCTACATAGCTCAGGATATCATCTTCACCGCAGTCGCCAAGGCGCGGGTTGATGGTATGGACCAGAAGTTCTTGGAATGGGAAGACCGATATTTCTTCGTAGACCCCGGACTGAAAATGAACGCGGACTTGACATCAAACAGCTCGAGAAAAAAAATCCTGACTTAATCTCTTCGCCTGTACCGTCCAAGTGTGTCACCTGACCTAAACCCTCGATTACCGGGTTCGGGAGGAGCTCAACAGGGTGGTCTACAGTGGCGGAGAAATCAACGACCTCGCTGAACTCAGGCACCGAATCACGGTCGCGTGGCAGAATCTCGATGGCGTTCGTCCAGAAGGCTGTGGCGGAGTTTCGTGATCGTGTGCAATGTGTTGTTGAATTTGATGGTGAAAATGTCCAATCAGAATTTAATAAAGTGTAACTTATATCGCCTTGGAAGTCGAGAAAGAAAAGTGTCTTTTTTATCCCCCCCCTCCTGTATATACAATCTTTGCTAGAGCGGTTCTGTCGGTCGTGCGCTGAATATCTCTGCATTCTATTCACCGCATGCTTGCCCCGATATGAAGACCGACCAGATGGGATACCACCGATGGCTTCAGCTATGTATTGCTTACTGCTACTCAGTGGGAGTAAATTGTCACGGACATCATGTTTGGATTTTTGGAACTATCAACGACTTGCGACATGCGCCTTCAAAAAATGCTGTACCTTTCTCTGCTCAGGGGCGCAACCTGCTGCCACAAGGGGATCGCTTCTTGGGAGATCGAGGCGCTCCAGATACCATAAGGTTTCTTCCATCACGTCTTCTCACTGAAAATTGAAAGTCGCAAAAAATTGTGACAGAATAAAGATTTGCTGTACTTAATCATACCCCGGTAAAAGACTCCAGTTCGAATCATCACATCTCGCAATTGAATGCGCGGTCCCTGAATGTTTGCTCGTACGGGTGTAGACAGCTGAAGACGCTGGTAGGTCTAGAATAGCAAACAAGCAAAATGTAGACAATAGCTGAGATCTCTGAGAACAGAGTTAAGCATCACGTCGCGGAGGAAAACCCGGCCGGTCACTCTTCCCTTGAAGCGGGCGTCCTTAGAACCCCTTATTGGCTCATCAGGACCCCCTCATCAGCTAAGCAGGTATTTGTCTATTTCGGTGATTGTGCTGCGTGTTTTTAGACGGAAGCGCCATCTGACAAAGCGGATTTCGATTGATTTCGTGCACCGTTCTCGAAATCTGTATGTGTGCTGCTCATCTGCTAGCATTTCTCAAAGCGGTGGGTGACATCCATATAACTTGGGAGGTCGTCAAGTGAATATAGTGCATCATAGAAACGGTTTTTGCGCGTTGTAGAGTTTGATATGCGGACCAAACATAGTTTTAGTTTCATTGCGCATTTCTGCGCACCCCAAAAGAAGTGAAAAAAATCGCCAAGAAGGAGCAAAGCAGAAAGGAATACCGTCCTTTTGGCTACGATCGAAATGTGATTGAGTATTATAGTTGTTACAGGCGTTTATTACATATGCATCGAAAACAAAGCAGAATAAGATCAAGAAGTACCTTTTTGGTGCAGTACCCGCCGTAATTCTTCAAAAAAGCAAAAAGACGCGGATCCGCGTTCAACTCAATTTGTGTGAACTTTTCTCATATAGAACCCTATACTGTTAGACTCAGCTCGTCGAGTTCTATAAGCTGGCATCCTAAAAAACTGAAAAGTCGAAAATTGAACTCTGCTTCCTATCGAAGTACCTGAGGACACTCGTTAGCGAGCGAGTCTCGCTATAATTGTAACCAGAGGGTAATCGTTGGGAATTAAATCATTCAGGAATCAAATAACGTACTGTATCGCGTAAGAAGTGATTAAAACATAGACAGTTGTTCTGCTGTTTAACGCCGCAGTACGCGTTCCGAATGTTATCACAAGAATGCTGAGTTGTGGGCAAAAGTCGTGCCCCAGGCGGGAGTCGAACCCGCACCTCACGCTTTCCGGGCGAGTGCGCTATCCGTTACGCCACCAGGGCCGCTTTTACCCTCTCAGCTTAACGGCTTTTATGCCGTAGCCTTACAGCACTCACACCGTAATCGTTGGATATCGGCAATGAACCGCGAGGCCGAAGGCTTTACAAGTTTTGAAGCTGTTTTGTTATGATAACTGCTGTTTAACGCCGCTGTAAGGCTACGGCATAAAAGCCGTTAAGCTGAGAGGGTAAAAGCGGCCCTGGTGGCGTAACGGATAGCGCACTCGCCCGGAAAGCGTGAGGTGCGGGTTCGACTCCCGCCTGGGGCACGACTTTTGCCCATAACTCAGCATTCTTGTGATAAACATTTAGACAGTTCTGTTTCCCAAATGATGCTGATCATTACGGTGCCAATTTTCCTGGAAATTGAGGGGTTTCGCTCGATGTCATTTTCGGACGATATAGCCTTTTCAGTTCGAAAAATCTCGAGCACTGGTTCAGTTCGGACCACACGAGCACAACGGGCCGAATGTATGGAGCCTGTTTTCCCCAATATTCGCGAAATCCAAGAATGAAGTCAAGAAGAACCTTTTTGTAGCTACTTGAAATGGGCACTTCGAGCGACACTAGGGCGAAATACTCTATTTTTAGCGTTTTCAAACAGGGCTCTGATTGGCCCCATAAGTTCCATAAAAAGCTACGTACAGAACGTCTTGTGCTTTCCAACAACTTCGTGGAAAACAGTGGTATATTCTAGACTGGTTGTTGTTATCGGGTGCCAACTTCGAGACTTCATTTCAAAGCAAAATTTACGTATTCACCGAAGGGAGAAAATCACAGTTGAAGTTATACCATTCGAAAAAAAGGTATCCGATAATGCCGACTACAACAACCCGTCTAGAATATCCCACTGTTTTCCCACCAAGTTGTTGGAAAGCACAAGACGTTCTGTACGTAGCTTTTTTATGGAACTTATGGGGCCACTCAGAGCGCTGGAAATCCTGTTTGAAAACGCAGAGTTCAATTGCCCGACTTTTTCAGTTTTTTAGGATGCCAGCTTATAGAACTCGACGAGCTGAGTCTAACAGTATAGGTTCTATATGAGAAAAGTTCACACAAATTGAGTTATAGCAAAAAAAAAACGAAAAAAACGCGAATCCGCGTTTTTTTTTGAACGATTACGGCGGTCATTCTATGCAGTGAGAAACCTTTCCCCACCAGTTTTCGCCTACCTCGTTTCCGGTGGGCAGATGGCCTGGTGGAGGGCCAATAATGGACTCTTTCTGGTACGACAGGTTGCAGTGGATCGTGTCGTCTTGGTGAGTGTTCAGTGGTT